TAATTTACTCTTCTTTTTTCTTTTCTCTCCCTCTCTCCCTCTCTCCCTCTCTCTCTCTCTTGCTTTTTTTTTTCCTAAATTCACATCTGTCGCTTAAAAATTGATAATGATTTTGGTACCCGCCAAAAATTCCGAAATATTTGTCAGTTTTCAGTTGATACCATCTCGTACCAAACTAAATTCTCTTTCTTCATCTATTACTCCCAACTACTACTATAACTTTTTTTTTTTTCAAACCCATTTTTCATTTTACTTCTCTTTCTTTCGTTCATTTCAATATTATCAATCTATCTATTGATTCATTTATCTATCGATCTATCTATCTATCAGTTCGTCTATCTGTCGATCTTTCTACTACCTATCGATCCCATCTATCTATCGATTCATTTATTCATCGATCTATCTATTGATTTATCCACCTATTGATCCAACCTCTATCAATCTACTGATCTGTCTATCAATCAGTCGATTGATCCATCTATTCATCTATCTATCTATCTATCTATCCATTCATCCATCCGTTTGTCTGTTCATCGATCCATTTATCTATTAATTCATTGATCTATCCATCATCTATCTATTAATTCATCTATCCACCAATCTATCTCTCGATCCAACCAACCATCTATCTATCGATCCGTCTATCCATCTATTGATCGATCTATTTAACTATCTATTTATCTATCTATCTATCTATCTATCTATCTATCTATCTATCTATCTATCTATTTATCTACCTATCTATCTATCTATCTATCTATCTATCTATCTATCTATCATCTATCTATCTATCCATATCTATCCACTCATATCTATCTATCTTGTTTCCTCAATTAGTATTGCAATTTTTTTTTTGAATTTAAATCAAATACAGCTTAATTTTGTTAAATTTTTTAATTTCTCTCTTAAAATTTTTCTCTCTTTCCCTTCTACAAAAAAAAAAATTTGATCCATAAAAATTATTCATTGATTTATTAGAATTGAACCAATTTGCGCAGTTTGCGCAATTGTCGTTGCATTATCATTTAAAGCTATTCGAGCAAAAATTAATTGTTCAAAGATTAGATTAGTATCTGTTACGAAAATTTCACAAATTTCAACTTCCTTTTTTTTTCCCTCTTCTTCCCGCTTTTTCCTATCCTCAATTCTTTTTTCTTTCTTTTCCCTTCCCATCTCCTTTTTCCTCCAATCTTTCATTCTCTTCATAAATTCCCCCCGCCTTCCCGTTTCATCTCATATACCATATAATGTATGCAAAAATTTATTTGTTAATAAATTTGAAGTAATTTTTTCTTTATCTTTTTTCCCATTTTTTTTTGCTTTTAAAAATTTTTTTTAAAAAAATATTAAAAAAAAGTTTAAATAACAATTTTTACAAATTGAAAAATAATATAAATAAGCAAAAAAAAAAAAACTTTTTTCTTAGTATATAATCGTTGAAATTTCAAAAAACAAATTTTTTTTTTCCAGAAAATTTCATCTTTTTTTTTTTTCATTAAATTAACGGAAGGTTTTTTTCACCGTTTTTTCTTTTCTTTTTTTTTCGTTTGAAATTCTCTAACCTTAACTTCTTAACTAAAAAACTTTTTTTTTATCTTAAAAAAATTTCGAATTTTTGTTCGAAAAAAAAATTGCGATTTTTTTTTCCGAAAAAAATTTTTTCCGACAAGTTTACGGTATATTTTAAGACAAAAAAAAAAAAGAGAGAGGAGAAAAAAAAGGGAAATGAAAAAAATGATATAACAAAGATATTTCTATGAAAAATATTTTTGAATATGGAATTCAACTTACTTATTACTTTTTCTTTTAGTCAACCAACTTTTATTCCATCCTTTGTTTTGTTTTCTTGAAAAGTTTTTTTGTATTTTAAAATGATGCATTCTTGTAAAAATTATATTTGCAATTTATTGTTTTTTTTTCTTTTTTGTATTTCATAAATTGAATTAATTTTTAATTTTTCAAAAAAAAAAGGACAATGGTAATATTTTCATTTTAAAAAATTATTTAACAAAAGGCAAAAAAAAAATTTTAAGAAAAAAAAAGAGAAATAAAAAGGATTCTTTTAGATAAAAGTCAAGTATTTATCGGAATTGTAGAAAAGAAAGGAGAATATGTCATCGTGGGATATCTCTCTGTCTTTCTTTTTTTTGTGATTTTTTTATTTTACTTATTTTGTATTTTTTAGACTTATAAGGGCGAAAGAGAGAGAGAGAGAGAGAGAGGAGGAGAAGAAAGAAA